TCCGCGACAGAACCGCCTCATTGTCTGAATCCCAATAGAAAGTACAGCCATCCATACCCACCACTTTCACACCTGTGGTCTTGTCCTGGACTACAGAACTGGTCCGGAGGTTGAGGTGCGCCACTCCAACCGAATGCAAGTATTTGATACATTCGGCCACCGGTTTCAGCGTCCTCTTCGCCTCCGCCTCGTCCACAGTCGCCATCATTTTGAATTTGTCAACAATAGACTTGGGATCCGTTTCCGACTGGAAGATGAACACCTTCTTGTTGGTCGCGTAGATGTCGTCCACTCTCATGAGGATTGGGTGTCGACCGGCGCCAGCAATGGATGCGCCCGCAGCCGCCCCCTCACCGCCGGTGTCCGTAGACTTGGAGTTTGATTTGTCGGCCGATTTATCGGTGGACTTGTCTTTGCCGCTGGCTTTGGGCGCTTCGGGAGCCGTCGCGTCGGCCTGCGATCCGACGTATCGCTGGATCTTTAGCCCCATATCGAGAAGGTTTGTCCGGTACTCCTGAGGAGTCTCGTCGAGGAGAACCACTTTGCAGACGAGGGCCTCATTGTCTCCGTGTTTGGCTTTGTAGATCTTTGAATAGGTCCCGGACTTGACTTCTGTCCGCTGAATGGAGACATTGTCCCGATTCATGGCCTCTTCGTCTTTGATGGCTTTGGCGCCCAAACCCTTGCGGATGAGCGCCATCGACACCCTCGCGACGGCTTCCCATCGGAAGTACTCGACCTGATCCTGATTGGGGCCACGGATGGTGATTGTGTCAATGTGTCTGCCCTTCCGCTTCGCTTCTTCTTCTCTCGATATTGTATCGGCCGCTAAGTAGGCGTCTGTTTTGCGCTGAACAATGGCGTCCACATTCCTCTCCATCTCCTTCTTCTCCTGTTCTCTCTTCGCCTGTTCTTCGCGGGCCTTGTGTTCCGCCTCTTCCTTCTTCTTCTTCTCGTCCCTCTCAGCCTTCTTCTGGCTCTTCTTCATCTGTTCCGACACTATTGGCATGTCTTCGGTCACAAGTGATCACAATTTGATTCAAATTTCACACAAACTCTTCGCAATCAAAAGTCAACCGAATTTGAAATAAAACCGAATTTCAATTTCAATTGTAATTCAAATTTAAATTTTCAAGAATTGAAAACTTTTCAAATTTCTCGCACTTCTTGTCTCGCATTACAGAAACTGTATTACAGTTTCAATCTGGGTATAAGGCATGAGGGAGAGTAGTGTAGGAAAATGGTCCCCCGGTATTCAAATAATAGTGTTTAGTGTCTAATATTAATGTAAAGTATTATACAAAAAAGTATTATTTGAATACCGAGGGACCATTTTCCTACACTACTCTCCCTCATGCCTTATACCCAGGTTTCAATACATTCACTGCTTTTGCAGAGAGAGTCGACTCAAGCAAAGTCTCATTGACTCCCACTTTGTGTTCAAACAATACTTTGCTTTTCATTCAATTCATAATTAAATCGAAAAAATGGTAAAAATTAATGATTTATTTGTGAATTGCTTTTCAATAACTATTTGTTTATTGTTTAGAGGTTTAGATTTTGCGGACAAAACGACTGTCAGGACTGGCTTTTGGCACAAATCTCTTTGCTCTCTAAACTCGTAATTATCTCTCATTTCAATCTTAACACCACTTCTTCTCATCAGATTATCCTCTCTTTAAGACATCCATCAAAATGAAACTCTTGTGCAATGAATGTCTCAATGATTTGATTGACAAACAAATGAACGTAAATATGAAAGGATTAAATTGAAAACTGGATTTAAACTCAAATACGGGTCATATGTTTGAAAGATGGAGAAAGTGATGAAAATAGGATCCGATGCCAAACTGGACGCTCAAGACATGAAAGCATGTGTTTCGGCCGTTGTCTTCGTTTTGTCCAACTCTTGCAAATATAAGACCGATTGTGCGACACTTTCACATGAATTACAACAATTAGGTCTTCCCAAAGGTATTCATCTCTTGACAAACAATTATTTGTTACTATTAATGGTTAATATGATGTCTTAGAACACAGTCTATCACTTTGTAAAGTATATTCAGAAAACATGGATCGACTCCAAGAGGCTCTTAAGCAACAGAGTCTTCGATGTAATTTGTTTTTGTTATTTCATTATAATAAACATATAATTTCTAATTCAAATGAAATATCATTTAGTGAGTCGTTTGAATCAAATTGAATATAAAATCGACACTCAATTCAATGGTTCATCTCATAGAGTGAAAGCACCGGCACTTCAAATAAGTGTTGACACACTTCGTGACCAAACCATTGAGAAGACAACTTTTTACGTAACTCACGAAAAATTGTCGGCTTTAATATATGGTATGATTTGAATGCATTGCTATTACATGTGGTTTACAATTAAATAAGTGTTGACACACTTCGTGACCAAACCATTGAGAAGACAACTTTTTACGTAACTCACGAAAAATTGTCGGCTTTAATATATGGTATGATTTGAATGCATTGCTATTACATGTGGTTTACAATCACTTTATATATTTTCAGAACTCAAACAATCTCTTCAACTAATGGATGAAATAAATGTTTAAATTATTTATTAATTCAATTTTAGATATATTTTTCTATTTTATTTCAAAACAAATACAAATTAAATACTATTTAACAAAAAAGGTCTTGAATTTGAAATGAGATATGATTTCAACGAATTTCGATAATAATATGAAAGTGAAGACCAAACGGGTTGTGGACATCGATCTAACAGATAGTAATGCAATTCGTGCCACAAATAGCCAGTTGTCCTGCGAGTGGAACCGATTGTATTGATGGCTCGGTTAGCATATGTCTTCACTGGTCTTAATATTAAAAATGTTAGCGAAAGCTCTAATTCAAGCGCTGATAACAGCAAAGAACGGGAAACGAAAGCCACTGAAGTGACAGTTAATGGTCTCTCCGATAATAAAACAGAGGCCAAAGACGACGACTTGAGTGAAGACGACGACACGACCTCTGCTTCTGAAACAGAGTTAAGTAATTCCTCGAAAGGAAGTAAACGGAAATCACAGACGCGTTCTGTTAAGACACGGAAACGATATCACACTCACAACAAAGATAAAGACTCGAAGAAACGAAAATCAAATCAAGAGTTGAATAAAATTGAAGACAAAAACGGAAAAGAAAATGAAGAGAAAAAGAAAAAAGAAAGAAAAGACAGCGACAAAGAATCCAATGACGTCCGCTCTTTGGCCACAACACGAAGGGGTCGAAAGCCTAAGGCTCTGAAAAACGAGGAAAAGGATAAGACATCCAAAGAGGCGAAAGAGACGAGTGGCTCATCGCTCAAGAAGAAGCTCCAAAAGGGAAAGTCTGACCGAACGGCGATCGCGGAGTTGAAGAAGTCGGGCAAACACTTCCTTCAGGGCGGGTCGTGTGTAGAGGTGGCGCCAAAACTGCCCAAATGCAGGGAATGCCGAATGACTCCAACACAACGAAACCGAAAGCCAACCATATTTTGTCGATTTTATGACTACAGGAAACTCGCGTTTAAGAGCAATATCTTGACGATCGCGGGTTTCTCTCAGCCTCAAGACGCCAACGAAGACGACTTAAAGCTATGGCTTCCGAGTGCAGAAGACGTGCCCACACATCTGGACGCGGAAACGGCTAAGTTTGTGATCGCACACGTCGGCGACCAGTTCTGTGATTTGGTTAAACAGGAAAAAGAGGCACAACTTCTTCACATGGGATCGACCAATAAGAATATAACGTGGAAACGAGTGGTGCAGGGAGTGAGGGAAATGTGTGACGTCTGTGAGACCACTTTGTTTAATATTCATTGGGTTTGTGATAAATGCGGTTTTGTTGTCTGTATTGACTGTTATAAAGCCAGAAAAGTTGGTTCAATCAAAGAGGAGTTGTGTCCCGCAAAAGATAGAGATGGCTTCCAATGGCTTCTCTGCAATAATCGACAACAACACGAACCACAGAGACTCGAAGTGACACAAATCATAGCGGCATCTGCTCTGTCGAGTGTCGGCCGAATGCTCCACACTTTACGGACCAAATGGAATATCAGATCCAACTGTACGTGTGTTAGTGTCTCACTCAAAGACATGGCTCACAAAAAGTCCAATGGATTTACAAAACAAGTGTTAAGTGTAGTGAAGATCGACAACAAACAGGTGTATGGCGTGAATGAGACGAATAACAAGAATTGGAAGTCAATTAACGGTGCGGTCGCTATCATTAAACAGGAAACTGATAGCACTCTGACGGGCTATAGTTCAGAGAGTGGTAACTCTCCGCTCAGTTTCTTTGTGGACGTCGCTCTCACTTCAGAGAAACTCATTTCTAAGACTTCGCCCATTAAAGAGGAAAACGACCAAAAGTCGAAGAAAAGGACATCCATTAAGACAGACAAAGATTTGGAAATATCAAGTGATGGCGACGACGACAATAAGCACTCGACTCTTCGTGAACTCCTGATGGGCCCGACATCTAAGCCTACAAAGGATACCAAATCTAACGGTTCTCCTCTCAGTGACTCTCAAACGGCAACACTTAAAACGACGAATCAATTGCCAGAACAAGAGTCAACTGATTTGGAGACAAAAGACGAGAACTGCGAGAAGAAAGAGCCGCCAAAAGAATTACAACACTTCATGAGACGATATTTCCCTTTGCGTAAAGAATCGGAACCGTTGCCTATCATATGTCGTACTTTGGAGGAAACAAAGAAACAGTTCCCTCTTATACCTCACGAGTGGTTCTGTGGCGGAAGACTACTTGCATTACACGAACCGAAAAGTAGTGAGAATATACACTTATTCCAGGAACAGTGGATACGCGGACAGGTTTGTCATATTGTTATACCATTAGATTGTTTTTGTTGACACACATAATGAAATGCTTTTTACACAAACAGCCGGTTCTGGTTAAAGACAATCACAAGAATCTAAACGCCCAGCTCTGGCATCCGGACTCTTTCAGTAAAGATTTTGGTGACGTTAAGAACGATTTGATTAATTGCTTGAATGGAGATATTTTGTCCAAACAACCGATGAGGAAGTTTTGGGACGGCTTTGAGAGCTTACAGATCAGAATGAAAGACAAAGCCGGAGAATATATGCTTTTGAAGCTAAAGGATTGGCCGCCGGACGAAGAGTTTAGTGAATTATTGCCCACGCGTTACAAAGATCTGATGTCATCGCTTCCACTGCCCGAATATACCAATAGAAACGGTGTTCTCAATCTCGCCGGTCGTCTCCCCGAGTGCTTCGTTCGACCAGATTTGGGACCAAAGATGTACAGCGCGTACGGGTCTTGCCTTCACGCCGATAGGGGCACAACTAATCTTCATTTAGACATTAGTGATGCCGTGAATGTCATGATATTTGTCGGCATTCCTAAAGAGAATAATAAATCAGAAAAGGATTGTCTTCAGGAAGTGTTGACAGCTGTAGACAACGGCGGTTGTGATGAACTCATGAAAAGACGAGTGCGAGAAAAGGGCGTTAAAGTGGGCGCTCTCTGGCATATATACAACGCTAGAGATGCCGACAAAATACGTGACTTACTTAACAAAGTGGCGGTCGAGAGGGGAGAGACACTCGAACCACATCACGACCCCATTCACGACCAAAGTTGGTATTTAGACGACGTCCTCCGGAACAGACTGCTGAAGGAGTACGGAGTGGAGGGTTACGCGATTGCCCAGTGTTTGGGTGACGCCATATTCATACCGGCCGGTGCTCCCCATCAGGTCCGTAATCTCCACAGTTGTGTCAAAGTTGCCGGAGATTTTGTTTCACCGGAGAATGTGTCCCATTGTTTCAATTTGACGCAAGAGTTCCGCCAGTTGTCGGACACCCACACCAATCATGAGGACAAACTGCAGATCAAAAACATTATTTACCACGCCGTCAAAGACGCGCTCTCTGTCCTCCGTAACCACAACAGCCCTCCCAACGATTCCAATTGACCCCCAACTCAGTCAGCATAGAGTGACTGATCCTAACAGTTGTAATACTAGTCAGTCGTTTGCCGGCCATCTCTGGACTCTCGAGATGTGCCGCCAAACGACTTGATGTGCATTTGAAGACACGATTGGCCAAAGATTGGCCTCATTTGTAACCATTGATACATAACTTGTAATAACGGCTCATTCGATGTAATTATATATGAATACCAATACTTTTCGACTATTTTGTTGCGAACATACATTCATTCGGTGTATTCGACATTCGAGTCCATCGTTTGAACTGATTTATACATAAAGAGCTCAAAACATTGTTTTTAGTTTTTGTGTAATATTTGATGCCTTATATGATATAATATCTGGTTTTTGTTCATTTATTATCATTTATTAATTAAATAATTTTATTTTAAATTCTGCCATCGCTTTGGCTTTACATTCAGATTTGTTTTAAATGCCATTCAATTGTCTGTTGATATCAATTGATGGACAACTCATTAACTCTTGTATCTAATTATTAGATAATTAATAATAAAATATAAATTAAATGTCTATTTGTTTGTAACATTCAATTAATGAGTATTTGTCCGGTCGGTCACCGAATGGTCACCCAATGGAGAGTCGAAGGTGTTGTTAACAACCAATACAATAAGTTGTTAATTATGGCAAATGATTAGTATTATTGAATAGCCTAACTAGCCTAGTAATACTATTAGGGGTATATTTGCCGGCAATTTGCAGTCATTGTATGTATGAATGGTTGAGTGTTTACATACATTACTGTTAGTGTTTACGAGGCCTTCACTTATCCACCGATGGATTCATTCTCACAATTGTTTCCATATATTAACCAAAGATTACAAAAACTTGAACTCATTTTATCGTTAATTGGTTTGTATTTTGTGAGTAAAATAAGCGCTAAATTGTTGTACAAATTATTGAACGCAAGTTATGATCACATTTGGCCTCAATTGACACCAAATGTGTTTCAACCGACAAATACAGGCCATGAATGGGCTGTCATTACTTCGGTTTCAGACACCACTGGATTCGCTTTCGCTAAACAATTGGCACAAAAAGGCTTTCATTTAATACTAATCGACAAAAACGATGAGATCTTAAGTTTGTTAACCAAAGAGATATCAAATGTTTATGCGGTGGAAGTGTTGGTCATTAGATCCGACTTTAGTCACGGATTAGAAGCGTTTCAATCCATTCAACACATGATAATCGATAAAAATATAACAGTTTTAGTGAACAATGTCTCGACAGTCAATCAATTGAGTGATTATTTTTGGGATTTAAGTCCTCAACAAATATATCATCTCTTGAATGAAGAAATGGCTTCCGTTTTGATGATCACTTCAATGGTTTTGCCACAAATGAGAAGTCGAAGAAAGGGTCTCATAATGAATATATCATCGCTTCTGGCCATCAAACCGACGCCTTATCTGTCACTGCAATCGGCGTCCAAAGCATTCGTAGACCACTTCTCGACCGCCCTTTCGTACGAATGCAGACACTATGGCATTCGAGTTCAGTCTTTGATGCCATCGTTTTGCTCCATCGGATCCAACAGTTGGTTCAAAGGATTCATAGCACCCAAACACGAGACATATGCTAACCGAGCCATCAATACAATCGGTTCCACTCGCAGGACAACTGGCTATTTGTGGCACGAATTGCATTACTATCTGTTAGATCGATGTCCACAACCCGTTTGGTCTTCACTTTCATA